CACTTAGGACCATTTTTCAACCGTAGTTTTTAGCCCTTCTGTCCTCATATGAAAGCTAAAAGACCCAGGGAGTTGATCCTGGCAACGATTTACACAATCTCACCATTTTGGGGGCCAAACAATCTCCTTTTCAAAAGATACTGCGGGGGGCACTTTTAATGCTAATGAGCTGGTCAAAAATTCTCACTTGAATTAGTGGTCTGCACCCATAAGTGGTGTGTCCCCGCCCACGCCTTTTTGGGGGGGTTCCAATAATTTTATCTAGCGCCCTCGTTGGCTTTATTTTGTGGGAGTTAGTGCTGGTTCTCTTTGCATATATTTTTATTTCATTATTTGTGATATAATGCCCGTAAATTTTGTTTGATTTTTAGAGGAATTTTCATTTAATATCCGAAGGCTCAACTATTCCTTCCTCCATGGTTTCACATTTGTTTTAAACCTTAAGGTTCTTGTATTGGATTCATTGTTAGTCAGCTTTGGGAAAAATATTCCCTTTTTGCACCACAAACTGAGCTGGGAAGAATAATTTGAAGTTCTTGATGCAGTGTCGAGAGGCTGATTTTATTCAAACTTCCTCTGTTTTTTGGAACAAGTCCAAGTCAGACGGCAGCCTGAAGCAGTTTGGCTCAGTACCAACAAGACATGATTGAGAATCAGAAAAAACTCTCAAACAAGCTGAACAGCTGCTTGTATAAAAACAAAGCACATTATACAAAAACATATTCAATGGGTGCATAGGTTCAAGCAGTAAGGTGAGGTAACAAATCTTGGCTCCAAGGTGAAAGTCTGAATTTGGCACAGGTCTAGGTGTTGACGTTTTGGTTGAAATGTATGTTATGTGTAGTCTCTACAGATCACTAGAAAGTCCCAAGACCGCATTAATATCCATTTCTTTTTATTGCGCTTACATATAGTTCACTTGTGATACAAAGCACACGCATTTCCATGTCTTAGTTGGAAACTAGCAGTATCTCTGATTTTTTTATTGCAGTCAGTGAAATTCGAATAGATTTCTGGCTTGATGAAACTCTAGGATTTCATTTAGAATCACATCTTTTTTCAGTGGATCAAAAGGTTTTCAAATATTTTTAATTTTGGTCACATTTAAAGGTCTTTACACTATGATGGAATTAAATTGATACATTTGCAACATGTACCACACATGGCATTCTGATCAATGTGCATATCTCCATACAAGCCAGATATTAATTTCGATTTGTGGAACACTGTGTAATTTTTAAGATTAGAAGTATACAGTACAGTGACTGCAAGTTTTGCCTTTCCTTAATATGCATAACTGTTTATTCTGCACTTTCTTTGAACCTTCTTAGAAGGCACGGCCACGACCGCTAGATTACCAAGATTCAAATAGGTCAATATATATATCTCCCAAACAAATCATCAATAAAATTACCAAAACCAACTGAATTTATTCTCAAGTGTTCTCTTATTTATTTTTTGTCTTTGAAGTCTCCATAGGAAATAAATAAGCCCAAAACACGAACAGTAGCAACAATACATAAAGCTTTATTGGAAACTATAATTCATTTCATGTACAACACACAAACATTCAAGAAACATGAGTTTTATAAGTAACAGACCTTTACAATAAGCACATCAATGACCAGTTAATGTACCAATGAGTGATGAGAATGCATTTGCAAAACGGGCAACTCAAACTAGTGCGGCACCAAGAGTTTGCAACGTGTTGGCCAATCACGATGCACAAAATCTGTCGACCCTTTCCAAATGCGCATTGGGTCGACAGATTTCGCCCACTGTGATTAGCCAATGCATTGCAAACTCTTGGAGTCACTATTGTGACCTGCCCGTATTGAAACATGCAAGTTCAAAATTAATACAGCTGCTTCTCAAACAAGTTTGCTTAGAATATGAATTCTACCCTGCTAGATGTGTCTTGCATTTCTAGTGAGATCTGGAATAACTACATGCGCTGCTGTAAAAGAATACCCAGTACAATACGCCCTTGCTTGGATATTTGGGAATATAAAATCTGTTAAGTCCCAAGTTCCAGGAAAAATGGCACCCTCCCACTCCCGCCCACCTCTGTCCATCTCTGTTACTGTCGCCACAGAAACTGATGGCACAGGCTAGTCCCCACTTTTCAGAGGATTTGAAGAAATAACCGAGAGGCTCATTGACAATTGAGTAAATGTAATTCTGACGAGCTGATCCAATATCAACATGGCCTCGATGATATGGGAGGGGCACCGCCCACAAGTCAAGTGTGGACAATGTTGTCTAGTGCGCCACGCAAATTACGTGTGTGTGCCACTGCCCAGGCTATTACTGTGTTAAGGGGGCAATTCCTTATGTTTGGAAAGTCAAAATAGAGTTATGGGGCCATAAACTTGTCCCCAGGATGGTTTTGGCTCCCAAAAGATCTCGAATGTGTGTTTCTACATACCAGTGTGTCCCCATAAACTATGGAACAAATATGCGTGACTTTGTTTTCTTCACCAAGGAAGGAAATATGCACTTAGTGGGATGGTAATTGCCAGGTAGTTCTTGAGAAACAACACTCTACTGTAATTTGTCTCCCAAGTCACATGGCATCGCTCTGCTGTCAATACCGAACTGCCACCCCCACAACTGTGGGAGTATGACCATGCTGCGTGTGAACTGCTATGATGAAAACCGCGATTAGGGCAATACGTCTCTTTTGGGATTTTAAACAAACGTGGGTATTAGCAAACCAGGCTGGAGGCAATTTTTCCAAAGGAAGCAACAAAGTCACCAGAAACCTTTTTAAATTCATAAAGCGAAAGGCTTTCTTAAATGTTAAGCTCTGTTGCTGAGTTGTCAAATTCACAGTTGTACCGTTGAAGGTTTTATTTGGATTTTTTCCAGTTCATTTTTTAAAAGCAAATTTGAGTTTTGTTTTTGCTTCCCTTTTCAAGTCGCATACTACTTAAATATGATGCGAATGCATAGAACTCAATATGTTTTTAACATCACAAGGAATTTAGCCATGCTAAATTTCTACAAGCACATTTTCATTTTCTTGACTAGAAAACAAGGTGAGAATGTGCCTAAGACAGTACCAGAGAGGGTACAATGTTTCAGAGAGAAAAAAAATGGACAAAAGAATTTCAGGAGCAACTCATTAAAGTTGTAACTTCCCACCTACATACAGCCACTGCCACCCTCTGCCGGTAAAGGCAGCTCTAGCAAAACACTAATTGATGACTGATAGGACAACTGAGACGGCATTTTGTTAATTGTGCTGTACGTCAAGCCTACGCAGATGTCCTCCAATTTGTCAAAGTCCAGGCAACATCTGGACTGCTATGAAATGGAGGAAAAACAAGGTGGGTTTCAGCAACAGCAGAGCTGTGAAATGGGCCGCATTGAAAGTAGAGTGTACAGAACTGGCAAAAATTCAGAGGGAGGTTTGAAAAGGGGTGTAGATTTGGAGGCGGCAAAGATGAACACAGTTCATTGTCAGGATAGAGGGTTTGCATGGCTGCCATCTTTCAGGGAACAGAACTGCCCCATAAGATCGCTGCCAAACACTCTACAGCATGCCCTCGAAGGTGATGGTGCTGCTTAAACTTAGAGACTAGGTTTACAGAATGTGAATCCCCCGCACCCTAAGTGCAAGAACAAATGAGGACGCGTGGTATCAAGAGTGAGGACCTGAGAACCAAACGAAATCCACACAGTGCAGGTACATGTACATGGCAGAGGCACTGTTTGGACTTCTTACCGTCCACACAAGACATCCTGCCGGCTGAACAACTGACTCAGACTAATTTGTGGATACTTGCAAAGAGTGAAAGAAAAGGTCAACGGCACCACGGCACATCCTGATCAAACGAGCGCTTGCAATATGAGTGAACTGCATTCTCTCTTCACTGTTTCTTAACTGCAAGAAATTTTAAAAATGTCCACATACTGGGGGTGCAACGCTGACAGGGGTGCATGGTTACTGCTTCAGAATGCTATAAGATGACAGAAAACACTTTTGGGTTTACACACAGAGGGGCGAGTAATAATGACAACCCGAGGAATCAGCGGCTGCATTGTGGCCTGTCCTTACCTACAGTATTCTCCTCATACAGGCAATCATAACTTGATCACCCCGGGGCCGATGCAGAGCTCTCGCTGCATACCGATAGTGAAATGGACAGTGTTTGTTGGGGTTCCAGGTGCAAATCTCACGTCAGCCCAAAGGAAAAGTTACTGCTTCCCCCATAATGTAAGGCTCGATTCCAAATTGGTGAAGGAGGGAGTCAAACTTGGGTCAAAATCAGGCCCCCCAAAAAAGCCCAAGTTCAGACCCCCAAAATTTGGATAACAGCCGTCGGTAACAGATCACTACTGAAGACTTGCTTTGCCCACACATTTTCCAAGGCAGCTTCTGATTAACCCTGGGTTTTTCTGGAAAAACAGAACATCTCCCCTCTCACCACAGTTTGAAATTCTAATCTGTCGACTAACCAAAGTTTGTAATCTGCAGCACGAGCTAACAAAAAGTCAGGCCAATGTGCACAAACGACCTCCTTCAAATGGTTCCAGGAAGAACTCCTACGCCCATAGGCCAAGTGAATACAGTCTGCTGTTTGAGGGACTAGTAATTGTAAAATCTGGTTGTTTTTTTTATTTTTACTTTTTTTGCCGGTACATGTATGTCCACGAGGGCTATCACATTTTGGGGGAAGAACTTCAGAATGGCATCTGTCCATGTGAGTTTATCGGTACTAGTCTTTCCACATTTTGTGACCAAGGGTCTATCAGACATTCCTAAACTATTTTGTTATAATTCTGGTTGAGGCTGTTCTGGCTGTTCTAGAATGTGTCTGAGCATTCTGAAGTTATTCAGCATAACATCTTCAAGAAACACTAACTGCACATCATAACAAGGACCTGTCACAGAACGGTCTCCACAGAATGCACCACCAGATATTACCCAGTAACATGCTGGAAAGCTCAATGATGAAGAAAACTCCAACATTTGTGAAAAAAACAAATTGTAATCCACCCCCTACCCCCCCGCAACACTTCCAATTCCTTTTCTGCAATCTTACAAAAAGCACCCATAACAACCAACAACGACACTGTAATAACAGCCTCCTTTGTGCATCTGGTTGAAGCAGACAGCAATGCTACAGACCCTGCCTTCACTTCAATCTCTAAAAGTGGACAAAACCTTGCATATATGCTCCCATTCCAAACGTGAATCTGGATACTGCACTTGTGAAATAATTGCGACCCTTGGTGCACAACGCACAGTACGTACAGCCCGCCCGTTTCCCTCAGGACCCCTGTTACACTGCATCCAATTGAATAAGCATCCGGTGTACACCTTCAGTTGCTAAATCACAGCAAAGGATGTTTGAAAAAATATTTATAATTTCCGAAACCTACGTCATGGAAAAACACGAATAAATGTCGCGTCCAGTTTACAGGTGTGATGAGTTTCTCCTGTTAGAGCCACAATGCAGCTTCTTATCATAGGCTTATTGTACGCATGTACTGCATTGGACTTCCATGGATGAGACCCTACCTTAAGTACTAATAAGTGATGGAAAAATGGGCAGGAACAAATTCCGGTGATGGACCACTTTTGGAATGTGGCCACATATGCTCTGGACTACGTTTTGGAGGGGGAAAAATAAATTTCAACATTTTTTAGACATCACTGTAAACAATTTGATTTTATTTTTTTTTTAGAAGCTTCATGGGAAAATAGAAAATCTACTTGGCTTTTTATTTATTACTTGGAGTTGGACAAATTGGGAAAGCACAGTTTAGTTTTAGACATTTGCTTTTTGAGGAGTAATTAAGCTTTGCACAAATAGCCAAAAGAATATTTTGACATGACTGAAGTTCTTTTTGCCCAATTTTTCATCTGTATGTTACACATACATGTAATACACCTCCTGTAGGTGCACAAAACTTTTAACTGTGACACTTCATTTTTTTGAAGTCAAAATATTACAACTGTTCGTCATCATCAAACAAGAGAAAACTTAGTTGAGAGAATAATGTGGAACCTTGCACAATGAATGAAGTCAGCATAGCATATTTACAACAAAGAAAATGTATTGTACATCTTTGGTGTGGGAGACAGTGAAACAACTTGTTTCTCTATATTTATCAACAAATCATCTGGAAAGTAAAACACAAGCAAAAGAACCAAATTTCATCCTTTCGAAACAAGGTTAGCCAAGTGAAAAACTACCATGGCCAAAGAAAGAAAGAAAAAAAAATTCAACCAAACTCACCACTTAAGTGGAATTCATGCGGTGTTACTCCATGCAAGTCAGCTCGGGGTCTTTGAATCCATGCTATATAAATCCACAGGCAGATTTCAGACAGAATCATATCCATACTCCTCGTCGTATACCTACAAGTACACAATATCCACTGCACCATATGGGCAAGTTACCAGAACGTGCCAAGTCTTACAAACACAGTCCATGTGCTCTCGCAAGCACAGGTACATGTAGTGTGTGGCCAATATGGACCGCTATGACTAATATTAATAATGGGAAGGCAACCCACGGGTTTGATCACACAGGTCTTTTTTTTTTTTCTGTTCGATTTTTTTCTCTCTTTTTGGAGTTTTTTGTTTTCAATACGGAGAAGAGGGGGTGTTGCGGTGCCTCACCAGTGCAAGGATGCAAAGGAGAGGGAAATTTGTTGTGCGTTTTGGCAGGTGCCGTGCATACTCAATAATTGAGGGGGGTGGGCGGTACCTTGTGCGTTGTTAGAATGAAGTTGACCCCCACTCATTGTGGAAACAAGGGGGGGGGGAAGGAGGGCTGTCATATGGTAAGAGTAACCCTAATGAAATAGTGCCGATGAGCCAGTACTCGTGTGTGTGTGTGGGAAGTTACAGGAAACAACTCCAGTTGGTGATCGCTGGGCCCACGTCGATTGGTTTGCAGAATAGCTTCAATTTACAGGTGACGCACCGGTACGTGCACAAATGCACGGCCGTGAATTGCACCGTGGGATCAAGTTGCGGGGGGGGGGAACTATGTCACTGCTGCACTGGGCGAGCATCAATCTCGTTTTTGACAGGTCCAGCAATATTATCAACGGAATTTTGGAATACTCCTAATTGTCTGAACGAAAGGGTGGAACTGAGCTCCTGGTTCTCAATATCATCAACCATTAATCAGCAACCATTTTCAAAACAGGAATAAGGCCTAATCTAAAAATGAGACGTTTTTCTCTTCTGGGAATTTCAACACTGGCAGAGTAAAGAATTTTTGTCTTTCGTTTTTTTTAACAAGTCTGAAAGTCTTTTTTCACCCCAGAACATCATCCATGAATTCATTGTGATCAGGATGTTCGCATGTGTTCTGTTGTGTGAGAAAACAAAATCAAGGATGGCTCTCACTGTTAATCCAGGGTAAAGTATGCACTCAGGCTCAGCTGAAATAACTTGACAAGAGATTCAACATCTCACGATTAGATTGAAACACTAGGGCTGTACCGAATATCCGAATACTTGATCGATTGTCAAATATTCGAATATTATTTTTCAAATTTGAATATTCGAATGTGAAATTCATGAAAAGGGAAAATTTTCTTTTGCTTTAAATGAAAAAAATTGCACTATGGAGGCTTGTTTCAAGCAGATTCAAATGAAAAGTGTTGGAAATCTTACAATGATTTAAAAAGTAAATTATTCATTAAAGGAATAAAAATTTTCAACAGGGCAAGAAGTCTTGTTAATCTCTTAAATCTTGCTAAATCGTGGCTGGAGATACTCCCAGATGTGAGAAGCTATTATATTGATCATAATGTACAATTGTGTGCATTATTGCAACTGATTTTGTATATGGTTTGTTCGTCAACAATCTGCCAGACGATACAACCGCATATTCGATCAAATTGAAGGTCGAATATGCAAACAATGAATTATTCGAACTGACTAAGCCCTACGAAACACACAAGCAAAAACATAAATTTAAAATGATCCTATTAATAAATACATCAATATATTGAAATCAATCGGCTGAATAAATATTGGAGCAGCAGAGCAATTGACAAAAAAGAACTATAAAATAACCAAGACTTGGCAAGAAAACAAGAAAATTCAATTCAGTTACAAGAACGACTGAAAACATCAATAAATATATTGTAATTAATCATTACCCACACTCCCAATGGAGCTAGGACTGGAACACAGATAAAATGCATGCAAGGTGTCTCTACATGAGTGGGCCGTGCAAACACACTGTGCAGACATACATGTACATGTACTGCATTTTACCAGCAATTGCATTCCACAAACATGAGTGGGAAGCTGGAATTAATCTGCCAGAAAACAAGATTAACCATCCAAAGGAAAACTGGCGAGTCTCATCCATATAGTGGCGTGGAATGTACCGGTAGCAGCACACTGCTGTTGCTTTGGCGCTGACCAATCAGTGACAGGGAAACAAATTTTTTGCTCGACACTTGTCTTCAAGCAAAAACCTAACAATAGAGCTGTCCAACTGTCCACACTCTGGGCAAAACTTGATTCCCGTTGATTCAGGCATACAGCAGTGTACCATGTTCAGGAACGGAGCTATCAATATTGGTGAATAAACTGGCCTGTTGCAATTTTCTTGGAAAGAATCTATCATTAAAACAAAAACCACAGAGAGAAACAAGGAAGTAAGGATCTCTTTTCACTAACTGTCCAGGGACTAGGTCTTCATTCCTTCTAAGTAAATACTGACCACACAAATAATCACAACTTTGGGCATTCATTTACGTGTAAATTGGACATTTAAAAAACTGATGTTTGTCCCCATTACTTCATGAACCTCTGGATGTAGTACAGTGCAACTTCCTAGCGTAAATTTATTAAAGTGGTTGTGCTTACTTCTGTTGTGCCAAAATGAAAAAGTCATGTGCACACATACATGTACATATAATTTTTACGTACACTTTACATACATTGTACTGTTATGTACTAGATACATGTACATGTATATGAGTGTAACATATACAATATTTATGAAATTACTTTATGGCTCAGCAAAACACAAAGAAAAATGTCTTGACATTTTTTTTCAAATTTATGCAAGCAGCTTTTAATATGACACTTTACGGGTTTACAACGATCCGTCTTACCGGTATATGCACATTTACAATCATGTGCTTGCCACAAAAAAAACAAACAAACAAACACCAATGACCATGTATTGGAGTTGTGCAAATCCTTTGACTCATCTCCCAACTCCATTCCCC